TCTCTTCATATCATAGACGTTATATAACATCACTTGACTTATATAACATCACTTGACTTATATAACATCACTTGTAATAAAGTGTTATAAGTAACCCCAACAAGCTCATCATGTACGACGAACTTACTCCTTGGCTGCATAACGGCTGCGATTGATATCCATGTCCAATAGTCTTGGTGTGGTGACCACAGCAGAAGGAAACGACGACATGATCTGGAATTAGAAGCAAACGTAGAAATAAAAAAATGGAATACGGTAAGTTGTGCAAACATCTCACAACTTAGGGGAAGGACTGATTCCTCTTCCTTTTGGCTTCGATTCAAACGTGTTTTTCAGTAAAGGAAATCATACAGTTCCATCTCAGATAATTCGTCAGCCCCAGCAAACAAGAACTTAACTGGGAGGTAAGAGCAAAAATGTTTAAATTCCAGTGGGTGGGAGGTAAAGCGTAGACCATTTACAAAGTGCAACACGAACGTGGAACTTTAAATAGCAAATACCCCAAGAGACCGAAAACGAATTAAATTAAAATCCATCGTCCAACACCCCTTGGCTTCTCTGTCTCCTCGTCAAGTTTATATCGCAGTAATTCTTACCTTAGCTAAGCAGTAAACAGTAAACAGGATTCATGAAAAGTTTTTCCAACTACTTTTTGGAGATTTCAGAAATAGCCTTACAGTTCGAAAACTGTCTTCAAACGCGATAGAATGTCGCTATTTTGAATTATAACCTAACCATAGTAAAGCGCGCGCTCTGATTGGTCAATTTAGCGTCCCCCATTTGCCCATGGGTGTACGCTGCTGACGTGAGCAAATGCAAAGACTATTTTTCCGCGCGCGCTTGTTTTTTCTGGTCACGTAAGATTTGTTAAATAAAAGAGAACTCTTTAGCTACAATGTATCAATGTTATGTTATAAAGCAAATGGTAAACACCACAGCATACACTATTGAGTTATGGATGCACTTGGGAGGTTTGCTAAGCACTCAACAAGCTAGAGTCGCTCTCGGCTATCGCCTCGCGCGACTCTTACGCTTCTTTCGTGCTTAGTAACCTTCCGCGTGCATCCATAACTCAATAGTGTACGCTGTGGTATTTACCATTTGTTAAAGATAATTCAGCCACGTGGCTGTACGCCAATCAAATGGAAGAGACCATAAGGAGCAGTTCATTAATAACTGCTGCTCTGGTTATTGCAAAAATAGTTCTAACAGGCTGTAATGCAAGGCTAAATAGAGATACCTTCATATTTCTTATCCCCCTACAAAAAAAACCACACAGTGCCCGAATAAGAACGAGCTGAACTCATGGTCTAAACACATCCAAGGAATCAGAACAAGTTACCCACGATATCTTTATAACAACAAACATATGAAACATATGAGTTCAGTACAATATGAGCTCAGTACTATATAATTTATAACAACAAACATATGAAACATATGAGTTCAGTACAATATGAGCTCAGTACTATATAATTTATAACAACAAACATATGAAACATATGTGTGAACTGCGGTTATGAGACGTATATGAGATATTTCACTATTGCTCAAATAGTGCTTTACTGCGAAGGATCGTTCTCATATACGATATCTTTATAGTATACACACCTAGGAGATATTGCAGAGGCCGGACTCTGTTCGAAAAGAGCGCCCATAAATACTTGAGGCGTTAAAAGAGCGGCACGAGGCAGTGCTCGATGTCCCTAAAGGTTCGTGGTTAAGGTAAAAAGCAGGCGCGTAACGTGGTAATTTTTTCAAGTACGCACAAGTATATATGATCTAGAAACCTAAGTAAACTGAGCGAAAACTACTGCGTTCTTTACTTCTTGTTTGAAATGGTCGTGTGAATACAAGCAAAGAACAAAGCGTCTTCCCTTACTTTGGCCAAACTTGGCGCAAACACAACATTGTTTTCAAAATTTTCCAGTCACTTCACGTACGCACGTGCGTTTGTGCGTATAGGACGCTACGCGCCTGAAAAGGACTTGCAGGGATCGCTTCAAGTCTTCAATGAATTACTAGAGAGCTAACACACAGGATGGGCGTTCTGAAAGAATACTTCCCAAGAAAACTTCATAAAAAAAAAAACATTAAGGACGGTTCTCTTCCAAGAGAGCGTAAAAAAAAAAAACTCCAAAAGTCTTGGGCTTCGTTTGCCTCGATTCTGGTGTCATAGCTTTTGTAACTGGGAAATTTTATTTATTTATCATTTATTTATTATTCATATATTTAAGGATTTGTACAAAGTACTTAAAAATAATAAATGAATTAAATTAAATTCTATGGTACATTTTCAATCGAGATGTAGCTCTTCTAAAACAGATTTGGTTCTCTCGTTGCGTGTCAGAATTTAATTACCTCGAACTTTACATAGTAAAAGAGCTTCGATTGTGTTTTAGTGCTGTTTTTAGCTGTGTTTCGGTGCGCCAACGCCGTTTACCTCAGAAGAACAGCAGATAAAAATAATACTTTTCTCACGACGCCAAATCCATGAAGAGACTACTTGTCTTCGCTCTAATCACAGATGGAATAACTGACTTACTAGAGATTTAATTGGCAAGTTTAGGCCATCAAGCCAACCGTAGTATTTTGGAGTGTTTACGCATATATCATTAGCATTTTACCCAGAAACTTTCCTAGTTTCCATTCCTTAGGGGCTGCAGCATTCTCGCATCCCTGACCCCACTCCTTGTCTTACTCCTACAAATGCTTCTTAACAATGCGACTTATATCCAAGTACAAACCTCTCCAACCTTCCATGAAGCTTTCTGTCCTCTCTCACGCGTGGCACACGTACCCTCTACATCAGACAAGGGTGCCTCCTTCTCTGCAGCCTCTTGAGCCTGTAGCTCTGCTGTACGAAGTTTTGCGCGCAGCTTGGGAATATTTGCAGCAGCTAAGATATCTTCTTCGCTAATTTCTTTTACGTCCTCTTTAATTTCTTCCAGTCGCGGAACCAAGTCCTTTGGCTTGATAAGAAGTATGCCACTTTCATCATAAACTTGAGTGAGACTGTAGAAAAGAAAAGAATTGTGAAGAACATCCTCAGCATACCCCAGTCCCCCGCTCAATGACGGCTTTTCAAAGGGAGACTAAGAGAAATTCTAGAGAAAGAGTGTGTGACTAATATGCAACCTCCTTATTCGCAAAAGAAATGGTCAAGATCTTTGCAAACGACCTTCTTCAGAGAGAGCATAAGGATTTTTTTTTAGATAAAGATTAGTTAGAGTAATGGCTAAATTTCTAGAGATGTTTAAATTACGAATGCTCGACCACCAAAGAGTGCGTTGACCATTGCCCATCGAGAAAGACTCATCACACATTTAGCCAGAATTTGCAATGCTTACCAGAAACAGGTTATGGTGAAGAAAGGCTGTGGATCAATGTGTTCAATTCCTATATTTTTTTATAATCAAATTGTTTAAGGACTGAATTTTTTGTAATTTCAGACTTGAATTAAGGACACTTCGCACTAAACTGGAAACTAGTATGATTTGCGAAAATTATTCCCAACACCAGATTAAAGATGAGTAATCCAGTCAAATAAGAAGCAATGAGACCAATCAAGGTCAACTAAGCGTTTATCAGTTAGGATATATTTGATCTCATGCGTAAAGTGTCGTTTTGACAATGGGGAATACTTACACTTGATGCAGTTTTTCCAAAACGGCTGCGCGAGCTTTGATGAACTCTTCCTTTTTCTGCTGCCATGTTTCCTTTTGCTACATGAGATAAAACATAGAAACGAGGCCATTTATAAGTCTGTGACGAGCTTACAAGAGTCCCTTGAAAATGAGCCTCACTCTACGCGCCTGACGATTATTAGTAAAGATCCCTACGTCTGTGGACTGCCCTCTCTTCTTTTCTGTTTGGGGAGGGGAGGGTGGAGAGGCAATGTTAGGCTCGACAGTTAGCCGCTGCCGACATAAACCCACGTCACGCTCTTCACCAGAAAGGACTCTTCCTTTCAAGGAAGGACGAATGCTTATCATCGGAATGTTCGGAATGTTGGGCGTAATTTCAAAGTAAGGGGTTACAATAGCTTTTACCATATGCGGCTGACGACTTTGCCCGCTAACTGGACCGTGAGGCGAAACCCAAACATGAGAGCCTGCTCCTAGGCTCAAGAAACGGCGGTAAGAGGTGTTATAGGGGACTGTGCCCGGTAACGGGACTGTAAATAGATAGATAGATATTTTATTGGTAAATACTTCGCAGCATGAACTGAATTGCGTACTCACAGATCTAAAATAAACATTACCATAGACATGCATACATCTTATTATTGAAAAATACATAGTTCATCATAAGGGGGAACTTGTACATCATTTGTGGCTGTTGACTATTCTGGCCGAAGCAATAAAGAAACTGTTTTAAGTCTATTTGTCTTGCAAAGTGGCAAAGCAAAGGTACACTCGTGCCTTAACCTATGAGAGGTTACATAACGGGGTGGTAAAAGTTTACTTAATTTGTGCTGAGGATCGTTCAGTATATTGCGAAATGTTGCTGTACACATATTTTCATGGTGGTCTTTCACAATTGGAAGATTCATAATAGCTAAGGCCTGTTCGTATTGCATACCAGGACAAATGATTCTCATGAATCTTTCCTGAATACGTTCTAGTTCGTGGAGGAGGTATTCGGGGAGAGAGTAATGAAAAACTTGTGCTGCATAATCGTAAGGTGAAACCCAAACAAGAGCCTGCTCGTAAGCTCAACAGACGACAACAAGACGTGTTATAGGCGGCTGTAGACCACCTGTAACCGACTTTTATTGAAACCCCTCTAAGTATTACCAAACGCTTTCGGTCATAATAACACATACGCGAAAAATAGTTTCTCTATCGTCATTAAAACTGCGAGCATGGGTATCTGGAACAAGGTAACTTACTCTAATCATTCTCCCCTCTGCTTTCTTCATAGCCAATAGTACTCTTTCATTAATGTTCGATTCCGCCCCCATTTTTTGCAGGTTTTCTTCTATTTCTTGGACCCGTCGGTAATTCACGTACCTCTTAACTAGCTCAATGAAACGTTTGCGAGGGTAGTCCATGGCTTTCTTGATCAGTTTTGTTGTGTACTGAACAACATGTGGGAGACACAAAGAGAGAAAGGCATAGCAAATTAAACGACAGAAACACTCTTAATGGAGCAACAAGTCAAGGCAAGTGAATTTGACCCAAGTTCGTTCACAATAACTTCTATTTGGGACGAAAATAAAGAAGGATGTTTGTCTACGGTCGTTGTCTGTTGCGAGAAGCGAATGGTTTCCAAGATGAGAGATCGAGGAAACTGTGGGCCTTTAGGAACAGAAAACTGAAAGTCCAAGGACAAACGTCCCTGTACATTTTCGAGCCTAATGGAGGCTACTGTATTTTTTATTCTTCAAACATTTTTCCAACAGCTTACTATTGAAAGTGGGTGTAAGCTGAACGCTCTCACACTTAAATCAATCTTTAAAGGAGCATTTTTATTGAATATAAAATTGTCAGTTGCACATTAATGATATTACCTCTTATAATTCTTTTGAAAGTTGATCTTCTTTCATCGCCTCCTGAAGCAGTTCTAGATTTCTTTGCTGATCCTCGCGGCGAATGTACTTCTGTCCGATTCTACGACTTTTCCAAATAGCAGCCAAGCTCTTTATAATACTCTTTTGTTCGTCTACGTTTTTTCTGGTTTCTAATTCCCTTCTCAAAACTCTCTTCAACTCTGATTCTTTCTTCTTTATCTTCTCCTCGTCGACTTTTTTAACTCTTTCAACTGTTTGTTCTACCTCTGAAACCTTGGTTTGTAATGCTTTGATGACTTCTAGAACTTCTTGTCGGTTTCCTTCCTAATATTTATCACAAAGAAAATCAATTTTAAGTTGGGTATACTAACTGCCCTTTCAAAAGCTCCCAGAGACCAACAAAAGACACTGAAAACAGAGCCAGAAATTTCTAGCGCAAGACTACAATGACGTGATGCAGGAAGTAAAGGCCCGAGTGTGGTCTAGAATATAAGAAGTCAGTACTGATAAACCAACCTACAACTCAGTAATACAGGTCGCTTTCAGATTTCAGGATAATGTTGGGAGAAAGGCTGTTCTTGAAAACACAAAGAAATATATTCATAAAAAAAAAATCGGTAAGTTGAATTTTCAATTCTTCAAATTTACCTCTAAGAGTTTCCATACATGAAGTTCTACTTGTTTGCCATCAATACGTAGCTGTCCGGGTGTTGCCCTCTGTGCCATCGATTCATCATCCTTCAACATCCTCCTCTCTGTCGACTGATCCATTCTACCCATATTTGGATCCTTTAAGACAAAGAAAATTACTGAGACTGAATAATAAGGTAGTTCTTGTCCCCGACTAAGTTGTAAGAGTCTACAGATCATATTTCTCCTGGGCATAATCATTGAAAGTTTTAAAGTTAACAGTTTTAATAAAGCCTCGCTTACAGGCGTTATACTCCGGGAAGAGAAGAACACCTCCAACGTACAGCTATTCACTGCTGTCTACATACAGAAAAGACGTGTGCTTCATAAAATGCATATGACAGATACTTATACCACCGACCGTATGGTTTTGTACTAAGATCTCCAGCCACATGAGTGAGAGCTGGGTTGCCTAACAAATCCTGTTTATTTAAATTTAAATGATGAGAAATATATCATAGTGAAAATGTGGGGTACGATGGCATGGACGCAAAAGTTTGAAATTCGGACTCCATTGCTGGAAAATGCTCCCGTCAAATCACTCTGTGGGATAAAAAGTGAGGTAACGGTATTATGATATTTGCGTATGCGCGGTTTAATAAGGAGTAGATTTGTACGGAGGTTCTCTCTTGTCGGAGATGAGACCGAAGCTGTCAAGGCACTGGTACTCACAGATAGCATTGTATATGTTTTCAGCGGTTATTGCTTATTTCCCCACGATAGAGGACAATTTCCCAATTCTCAACTGTTACCTTTGATGCCAATCGCTTGCTCATGAGTCCTCTGGTAAGTTGTAATTCCACTGAAATCAGCATCTCACCGAACAAGATAGCCACGCGCGCTAACATCTGCCGTGTGTCCCCGAAATTCTCGTCCAGCGGAAGTGGCGCAAGATTACGAATATTATGCGCCTCTTCACTCATATCTAAGAAACAAAATAAAATCACGTGAAAATAAGATAAAGCAGGAGATCCTATTTTAAGTAAAACAGAAACCATTTACAGATGTCAAGTTGCTTTTCAAACACGCTCTAGTTGTTAAGTAGCCGAGCGGTAAATCAAGAGGTATGGTGTCTTTCAACTGCCTTCTTTGAGGTCCATGATCCATGCTTTAAAGAAAGGCAGAATTAGTTTTACTCAGTGAAATAGCTCTACCATATTAGTTGTTTTTTCTCCATGGAAATCAAAGGGGTACAGAACCATAACAATGACCGATTTTCGTGGGAAGAAAATAGTTTTACGTGAACCATCACCTTTCCAATTCCAGCAATTCTGACACCTGTATTTGCGTCAAGTTCTAACTGTTTTATTCAAATATTATTTATGTGTTCAATTATTTGTTTGTTGGTTTGTTTGTATTCGACCAAAAAAAAAAGGGTAACGCAGTACCATAATACCAATTTGCAGACAAAAACCCTCAAAATGCGACTCTTTCACAAATCCGGTTGTCTTCTTAAGATTGTTTTGCCTTTACTCATCATTTGATATTCAAATTTTTCCTTTCACTAACTTGGGGCGGATACACACCCCAGCTTAGGACTAAGTTTTTGAGTGGCCTGTTACAGTCTCCATTGTATCAAGTTTTTGATCCGTAGATAAAAACGAATTATTTTAAAATATCGATAGCTCTGCACATATGCAGGTGTGAGTTTTATGCTATAAGCACAAAGAAGAAATACTATTTCTGTAACTGTAAAGACTTATAAAGACGGCGTTGAACTTACTCTCTCTGTCCAGTAGCGACGCCACACAATCTTTGAATCTATTGAGAGCCCGCAGTAACTGTAAGCATTCCTTGTGAATGTTTTGTAGGTCTTTATTGTGTTCTTGTTCCACGCGTCTCAATTCAGCTTGATGTCGTTGATTTTCTTTAGCCTGGTGATCTTTCAGACTGTGTAGTTCAGCCTCGTATTGTTGTTTTACTTTAGCAAGCATTTGCGGCGCTGTTTGTGACTCCAGACCCAGTTGCAGTGAGGTTTTCCCGCGTTCACTTCGGGTTGTTCCCGCCATGTTTGCGACACTCTTTGTCGCAGTAGTAGAAGGAGAAGACATCATTCGTTCCTCGAGGCATGGAATTTCTTCCATAAACTGACTGAGTCTTTCTTCCTGGTATTTGATCATTTCTTCGTTGCATTCTATCTCGCTTGTCATCCTGTTTAGTTGACAAGGGATAACTTTATCTACATGTTTACATGTGACATGTATATCAAATAGTAACAGTAACAAATACAAGGCGAGAAGCATTCTGAGACATACACATTTCAGTCGATAAACCTCGAAAACTCAAAGATAGAGGGCTTTGACACCCGCCTCTTTCCAGATTCTTTTACATTTCGATGCCACTGGATAGAGAGTGACCGTGGATTATGATGAACTTCACTGAATCCTTCAGTAACCCTTTTACTTTTAAGATTCCATTAGTAAATAAACCGTCCTTACTGTCTGCCATACAATTCGTATAATGTTAGTTTGGAGAATAATCCGGTTATTGGTACTATTCTTTATTCTCATTACTCATTGTCAGCTTAATAATTTATGGACATAGCGAGGAGAAATTCGATCTTAATCACCCATGGCAGTCAAAGGATTAAACATACATAAACAATTTCGTGTGGCGCTGAGCTCATTAAGTTTAACGGTTTTAGTTTTAGTTTTAGGTTCAGTATCGGTAAGAGTGAGAAGGAAAGGACTTATTCTTTCATTTTCCCGTGTAGGCCTGAATCTTTTTCAGTCCTTATTTTTACTACTTCTCAAGTCGTGTTCATTACTGGGAAGGTGGCTTTGATTTTCATGATTACCTTTTGTTCTCCTTTTCCAAGTCTTCCAATTTTTCATTGAACTCTTCCACAGCCCGTTCATGTCCCCGTTGAATATCTTCCAGTTTTATCTCAAATTGACTCCGTTCTTGCTCAACTGCCACTTTTTCTGATTGTAGGGTTGCGAATTCGTTTTCGAAAGCTGCAAACTTATCTTTTTCGACTTTTAACTCGTCCTGTATTCTTTCCAACCTCTCTCTTAGCTGAGATATTTCTTTCTGGCTTTCTTCGCTGGTCTGTGCATCACCTGGAACAATTTGGGACTTAGATGATTTAGGGGTCTGTAGGGAAACTTTTTCTCCTGTTGGAGCAAGCTGTTGTGATGGTTTATCCACAAGACTGACGATTGAAACCCTTTCCATGCTTTCCTTAGAACTCGCCATGGACTCTCTGCTGCTGTTATATAAACCATACGATTCTTTTTTCTTGTAAGCATCTAACTGTTCGTTGAGGTCGCTGATCATCTTCTGTTGTTCTTTCTGTTGGAATAAATCGAAAATCATCATTACAGTCTATCTTGTTCCCAAAGAAGAGATATCAAATAAGTGGAATCTTAGATACCCGTGTTCTTCATCCCACAGCCCGCATTCCCCATCGGACCCCATATATTTTTGTGGTGGTAAATAAAAAAAGGATTGGTCCAGGGCCATCTGCAGTGCTTCTAAAACATCTCACTATTTATGTGAAGTACTTACCACGTGGTCTTGCAGATCTTGATTCTGGTATTGAAGTTTTTCAGCTTTTAATTTGGCTTTATTATTGTTCTTCCTAAGTTCTTCGTTGTTTTTCTTGGTTTTTACCACTTGGCACTCAAGATCGATAATTTTTTCGTCCATCTAAAGCCAAACCATAAATTGAAAAATTAGAAAGTAAAAGACCATTGCGTTAGCTTGTTAAAGTCGTTGTTTTTCAGGAAATTACAAATATAACACTTTTAAATATCAGATATAAATTCCCTGTAATTGCTTTAAAGGACATACTGAGGTCTGTGTGATTATTCAGCAATCAAGAGAGCAGTAGATACAAGTACGATTTCGTTTTAAAAAATTATTTTTTGCTGACCTTTTACACTTACGGGTGTTACCGTCGATAACTAGTTTAACAACACTCCCAGACACATTTGTTGGGAATCTTCTGCTTCCCATGCCCCTCTCAATGTTGGTCGGCAAGACTGAATAGAAACATGGTAATCAACAACGTCTTCAGTTGGAAGGGGGAGAGGGGCCAAAGAATACTACAGACGGTTTTCTGGAGAAGCGTTCCAGCTAATTACGCCTGAGAGTGCAGTTTCAACTTGCCATGGTAGCCGATAAACGCTTGCAACATGCTAAGTCACGATTGGCCATTAGTGCTTTTTAGTCCACGCCATGAAATCGGCACATTACTGCGTATACTTGCAAGAAAAATTGCAACTGTAACAGGGTCCTCTGTAAAGAAACGAGAAGTAACATAAATTCAAGCTTAAAACTTCACCTTACAAATGGTTTCATTTCTCCTTCTCATCATTTTCGTCATCAATAAGAATTGTTTTCTGGCTTTTTCTACACACAGGCGAACCCTTCGAAAAGGAATAGTTTTAACTGCTTGCTGAAGAATTTGATCCACATCCCCTTGGGCCTGGATCAAGTTATCTGCAATTTCCAGTTCCTCAACTGAAACATACATTAATAGCAAATTTGATTACGCAACTAATGCAACAGTATCAACTTCAATTCAGTACAAAGCTGCTTTTCTTGTTTACTTTTGTTCGATCACAAATGGGGAAGAAAATTAAAATAAAAGTGTTTCTATCAAATAAGACTCAATTAATTAGCCTCAGGGGATCCTTGACCCCCATGCATAAGTTCTCCCTGGGAAGGTTGCGCACGCCATTTGTATGAAAAGGAGAGGGGGGAGTGGGCTATAGTTTTGCACTGATCGGGCGCTCAGAGTTTTTTCTTGTTCCGCCCTCCAAACAAATGAAATGAGATTTCTTTTCTCTACCGACTGAAGTTAGGATTTACTACCAACACGTTCTAATTTCCAGAAATCCAAACTGCCTCCAAAACTCATTTAAAACCAAGGTGTCAACTGTTCAAGTGGAATTGATAAAAAAAAGCTGTTAGATTTTCAAATGAACCAAATAAGCTTTGTAAAGTAAATACCATTATAAATTGTTTTCAGCATGCGAGGCCCTTTTTGACCTTTGACCGGTGGTGTGCTGGAGTCCGATTCACCTTCATCTTCAATCGAACCCATCCCAATTCCTAATGAGTCAGCTATACCCTTCAGTCGCTCTAAGGTGGTACCGAGTGCTTGCATTTCTGACGTCAGACTGAGAGGCAGGTCATCCAATAGAAGATCAGGGCTGAACATGAAGATTTGAGCTGGTTTAAGCAGCTCCTCGTCAACTGTGGACTCGATCCATGACTGCATCTGCCGCAAAATATCTTCTCTTTCGATACAAAGTTCCAGGTAAGACTTAATAAGCTTGTAAACTCTGCGGCGCTTTGATTGCTGTTGATTTGCGAAGAGGCCAGCTTATTAGGTAAGTGTAGGTCAAAATATTACCGTGCGGCACAAATATTTTGGAGCATTTGATGTCTGAGAATTTTGTGGATACTTTTCGATCCGCAAAGATCCCAGTAAGAAAAAACCGAGTAATTTGAGAATTTTGTGGATTTTCCTCGATCCACAAAAATACCCCCAGAAAAAAGCCGGCAAAATAGAACCTGCAAAAATTTGCCACACTCGATCAAGCAGACACTTTGCATGTAAGTCAAGTAGGAAAATCCTTGTTCTTCCGAACGCACTCATTCGAAATATCCACCAAACCTGTGCACTAAAATACAACAGCTAAAAATAAAATAAGCAAATATGATACAATATGAACCTCTAAACTTAAAAGTGAGTTTTCCAACAGATCACTGATTAGTTGGGTCTTCTTTTCCACACGTGTGTTCATCAGAATGAAATATAATTAGCTTTTCCAGGTGACCCCGACTCACTACGTTATGAGAGAGAATTACAAAGATAGCATGGTGTGACTGTTGGAAGTACCTCCAGAGACCGTACATCTTGATTGGCTCTATACTTTGAGCCTCTCTGTTGAGCCTGGTACGTGAATTGGGTAGTGAAGATTACTATAAAAACGAGTAACAATGCACACCTTTACTAACGTCCTTTGAGAGACCTTACGTAGGATCCGTCCTGGCATGTTTCCGTTCTCCTCCTGTCTATCCTCTTCCTCATCCCATTGGTCTTCGTCATTGTCTTCATCTTTACCGCTGTCTTCATTTTCCTCGTCACTGGAACTGTCCGCTTCTTTGTCTGAATTGGCCGACTTCTCTTCAGCATTTTTCTCCCGTTCCTTCATTTTTCTTTGTTCCCTCCTTCTTCTTCTTTTTAATTTCTCCTCTCGCTGCCTTTTCTCTTCCTCTTCTGCTTCGTATTCCAGATCGGGACTTTCTGGAACTTCCAACTCGGCCTGAGCGGTGTTAAAATCGTCCAAAATCAGTCGCACTCTTTCCATAATAGCTTTCAATTGATCCATACATTCATATTTTTGTCGTTTTAACTCTCCCTTTCGCAGCGCTTTCAATCTCATTTCACCAGCAGCAGGGTAGCTGATGTTGAACCCAGAGTCTGCACGAAGAGAACTCGACGTTGCAGCTAAGGGAAATTCTGATTGGCCACCTCCAATGTGAGCTGCATAATAATCTGTATTGAAAATACGAAACTGATGGAAGTTAAAAAAGATGGTGTGACATGACACCAATCCATCGCTTAATGAGTGTTTTATGGGAGAGAAATGAATCAGGAATCAAAGAATCAACGTGAAAAGAGGACACAAACATACCCTTGCACGAGTAATTTTATAACTTAAAAGTTCATTTAATAAAGGTAATTCAGTGAACTGAGTGGAGTGCAATTTGGGCTAAAATCATGCGCGTGATTTCAAAATCGAATGAGCGCGCAGCGCGAGTTCGATTTGAAATCACAAGTATGATTTCAGACCAAAATTGCACTACACGAGGTTCAATTACCACTTTATTAGATCCATTTTGAAATCGCCCAAATACAGGACTTGGTCAATTCAAATATTTTACTGATTCAGTACTGAGCCGATTGTCAAATAAGAAGCGGAACCGGAAATGCTTTTACATCTTATTTTGTATGCAAAACAGAAAGACTTTGACGTCATGTATCAAAAACTCAGTCAAGCATAAAATGATGGGATTTAGAGCAAAATATGGTGCGATTCGTGAATAAATCGCATCAATTAGAGCCAATCAGATTACAGGGACCACCAGTGATTTCAAAATGAATGTAATAAAGTGTGAAATCCGTTTCCTCTTTCATGTCTATTCGAATCTAATCAGGCAAAAATGATCAATCAAATAATTTACTCGTACTCAGTGCAATGACCTGGTAGAAGATTTTTGGATCCACTGAAATCCTACACGAAGCAAACATTGCAGAACGACCGAAATAGCTGAAACTCGACGCTGTTGGGTAGGCCGCCCCTCAAAGCATAAAATTATGTTGTAATCACTATTACTCATAATAAGTAGTCATTTGAATTTATCCTTCTTTGTTTTAATACCGCAAAACATCTCTACCTGAAAGTTGCTGACCGCCTTTATTTTGAAGCTGCCGGAGTGAGGTGCTACGAACAGCTTCTCTGAAAGCCTCGGGATACCTATCATGGTTTTTGTTATCTCTCGATGACTTTTTTGATAAATCAACATCCATGGATCTTCTTTTATCCCTATAACGGTTCACAGTGTCTTTTAGTTTATTCGTTTAGGAACTTTAGAAGAAGGGAGAAATGACAAACGCTGAGAAAGAAACTAATTTGAACATCTGAAAATCATTTACCTTGATATCCTTGTATTTTGCCTCTCCATTCTTGCTTTTTATTCTTTAAACAAAACGGTGCCCTGTGAAGATTTTTTTTATTAGCGGGGAAGTCGAACTTACTGGAATGACATCATAATGCATGTGACTTTAAAGCTCCATCGCGCGTGCACCTTACCAAAAACCGCGTGTACTGAGAAGCCGCGGGCTCATTCAGTACCACCATGTTGATTTTAAAGGAAATATTTAAGTAACACCGTACTAATGGATTCTCAGTATTATTTTCCAAAGTAATTGACGAGATGGAAAATGACTCATGATCACTCGATTCGTGAAAAAGATTGCGAAATAGTTAATCACTGTAGACAAGTTTATTGGGGTCCTCTGACATGCCAATATAACTTCAGATCGGATAACAAGACTAATGTCTTAATTGGTGAAACACCAATAAGTTAGTCAAAACGTGACTCTGACTGATTATTGACGCAGTTCTTCCATCCGTCATCATCTCATATCGTAACTTCTTTAGTAGATTTTTAGGTCGCGAAAATAAGAAATGCAAAGTTCTCGAAGGAATGGTGCAAATATACACCATCCAGTGCAATTTGTTCAGTATCCATCTATCGACTTAATAAAATCACAGGCGGCCCAAGCTCTCTTTGAGAACCACACAAGGAACACAATTTGCATATCGATTTATAAGGATTTGTATGGGATTTTCTACAAGATAGCCATAGAGATAGTTAAAAGTGAAAATATTAAATAAAAATGGCTTACCTTATTCCATACGTGCGTTGTTTGCTCCTGGTGTTCTCTACCACCTGGTTCTCTTCCTGGTAGAGAACCAGGATTAAAAAAACCGCATAAATCAAGTGAAATCGATAAAATAACGACACCAGGAGCAAACAACACACGTATGGAATAAGGTAAGCCATTTTTATTGATTATTTTCACTTTTAACTATCTCTATGGATCTCTTGTAGAAAATCCCATACAAATCCTTATAAATCGGTATGCAAATTGTGTTCCTTGCGTGGTTCTCAAAGAGAGCTTGGGCCGCCTGTGATAAAATTAGGGTAAAAAAGCGTTTTATTTGTCAGGATTGGACGCCTGTAAGGCATATTCCTTCACGATCGAGTATCGCTCTGATAATGCATTTTCCTTCCAGTATGAAGAAGGGAGGTCTGAGAAAGGAATCATGTGGAATGCTCCAAGTTAAGTATGCACTGTCCATCTAAGAAGAATCAAACTTACGTTATCAAACACACGGGTATATCAAATGCAATCCAGCATAAAGATTACAGAAAAAAGGCCGGAAAACTCGTACTGTTTGGGATATCACGCTCAACTTAGCCGACAATCCTGAGCACTGAAGTGACAAGCGACCTGTTTCCACAAACTGGGTTGGTACACATTTTTGGACCAAAACTACAAGGACTTTCAAAGTGCTTTCGAACCCTGAATGAAATGCTTCGAGTCAACCTGCTTCATGAGCGCCGAGCAGCTCTCAAAGCGGAGCATAGAAGCAAAACCAAGACGTGAACATCAGTTACTTTATCCGAATGCGTTATCAGAAAAGACAACTACAGCCACAACATCGAAAAAGTTTCCACCCACATATTTTCATCAATGTATGAGAATAAAAACCACAAGGTAAGCGGTTCGCTGGTATCAGCTCAGCATAACCTTTTCACGGACTTTTTAGGGCAGGTTACATACGCTCTACTTAGCCCCAACAATAGTCTCCGCATGGTTCTCTGGTTTATGTAATAAGAGATAACGGAGAGGACGATTCCAAAATGACAGACAAGGAGACCTACCTTAATACCATCTGAGAACTAAGTCAATACGTTTGAAAAAGTAATTTATTATATTTTTTATATTCCTTTACATTATGAGAATGTGTACGAAAATAGGCGACTTGTCTAAAAACTTCGATAAGTTTTTCTTAACTAGTTCATATATTTCCCAACTGCAATAATGTCAAGTTCTATGGGCGGTTTCTCGCAAACTTTTCTGTATCCTTGCAATATTAGCGTCAAGGTTTGCTAAATCTCTCTTGAAATCTTCTTCTTCTCCTGATGAAAGGGAAGATAAATCACCGCCATTTTCTTCATCCTCCAAATCTTCCACTTTTAAACCGTTTTCCCATGATTCAATTCCATCCGTATGCACAGAGGTGTCCTGTGCAGCGTCCGCAAATCGTAAATGTTTTTTGTATTTTAAATCAGAACTCCTCCCGGAAACTTTCCCCATTGACACCACACCTTGACTGAGTGGCGGCGATTGCTCAGTGGTAATTAATGTTTTTTCGGGCTGACTTGGAGATAAAGGGTTTCTGTTACTTCGTCTTGCAAGATGTAAAACCTCAGGGGAGAGCCCTGGGGTCGTTACTTGGCCTCTGAAGGGAAGAAAATATATGTATTCTTTTAAATCACTGCACAAATTGTTGAATTTCGACAACCCCCAAAGTAATTTTTGCTTCCCCAAAAATAGTGCAAAAGCATTGTTCGAAGTTTTACTTACGGTACAGGTCAACTAATCGTCCCCCCCCCCCGCCCCACACTGAGTGAGGGGAAAGGGCACATGATGTGAATGAAGAATTAGACCTGTGAGTCAGTTGTCATGCTGCTTCAATGTGTCGTCACTTGGCCACAGAGAAAATTGGTCGCATGGTCGGCTTGGGAAAGAACACGAACAATTACTTTCTTTTCTTGAAATTACATTTTGAATTGAAGAGTAGTTAGGTCCACACATTAAAACGCCTATCGAAATTATGCAGTGACCTAAAGTTGACTACGTTGTGATAACGGCAGCAAGAACTGTAAGTTACAAAGGCATATGGTATTTCTTGGACGGGACTGGACTGGATTGGATTGGACTAGTAAAACGAGGACTAGTAAAACGCGGACTAGTAACACGTGGACTAGTAACACGTGGACTAGTAAAACGCGGACTAGTTAGTCTAACTGTTTTTCTTTTTATGAGTTAAAACAAACGTTATTCAAATTAAAGAGAAAGCTTTCGCCGAAACACTTTTATTTCTAAAGGTAATTAAAAGACTTCCGAGCAAATTTTGAAACATTTTTTGATAAGTAACTGTCACGATACGACACCTGTCAATTGAAGAGGAAAGAAGCTTACGCTTTTGAAGAAACAGCAGTACTGGTGTATGTATGTATGTATGTATGTATGTATGTAAATCTTTATTTAAACACGGAAAATCATCAGTTACATAATAAAAACTAAGATTAATTAACTGCTTTACATGATTGCCGTGTGGGAATCCTATATATCGACTACGT